TAGTTTGAATTAATGAACTAAGTGAAGATTTATTATAGAATAACCAATGTTGATATGGTGTCATAATTTGTACTTTCCAATCAATTGGAATATGTTGTAAAACATTTATAACAGCATTAACAAGTAATTGAGTTGCTCGATCATCAACAATTAATGCTATATATGGATATTTACTTGTATAATTATGTGAAATATTGGAATTATATAGACAAATATTAATAGAATTTGTATAAACTACAATAGTCAAAAGACATACACAGAAAACTACCAATAATAATGGTCGTTTTGAAATGCGTGATTTATTTAATATCAGCTTCATAGATATCTAAAAACACATGTGTTCCATAAGATAGATGAAAATATTCGTAGTTTCTTAAAAGAGATGCTTTTTAATTAAACAGCATAGCTAATTGATTCAAGTAGTTATTTAAAACCATCAATTATTTAAATAGCTGACTCCTTCCCTATCGAGTTTCGGATATTTTTTATTGTGTGATTGACTATGAAAAATCTGCAAATTTCTTTTTTTCGTGATTATTTCTCAAATACTTTGAATTGTTATGATATTTTCTTAATAATCCTGGTTTTGAATAACTCATAAAATGATATATACATTAAAAAATCAAGTTTTGTAATGAATGAAGTAGATATTTGAAGAATAATAAATACTTCATTCTTTTTCACAACTCCTGCTCGAAAAAAATTAGTAGCTTTAAATAAATAGCTAAGATTTTTTTAAATAGCAGCTCGTGAATAAATATATATATATAGTACATGTAAATAAATACATGAGAATAGAAAGAAATGCAGTTTAGCGATGAAAATTTATATATTAAAGAAAATAACAATATAATTTAATTTAGAATTTTCGACCTTAAGAGTTGGTGAAGACGGTTATCATCAGTAAACTAATGTTAATGTTGTAATCATAATAATCATAATACATAATTAATTGACAACACCAGCATCAATCACAATGTATAAATAATATTCAAGTTTTATAAGTACTGCATATGAATAAGTCAACATTAAAGAGATAGATCACTTGATAGTAACAACATAAAAGTAAATAAC